TTCTTTTCATACAAACTTATTTGGATTTTTTATATTTCAAATTACTGATACATTCAAAGAGTAATTTTAATCTCTATAATTTTTGCTAACCGTGTTGAGTCACACTTGACATCCGAGTGCAAAGGGTTTTAATGAATACTATTTTAAATCTAGTATTAACTTGAAATGCATAGTCAAATGTAAATTAAAGAATAACTCTTTCCGAAACTTTAATTTTCCCTTTTGTAAAATAAAAGAGGATTCAAGGAAACCATTCCGTGTGTTCACTATTATTCTATTTAAATATATGATGTCCCCCTCCACCCCCATTTTAATAACACCTAAATGGTTTATAAAGCCTAAAGCCAATCTGGTAAATTAGGAGCAAGTTAAACAGCATTGATCCAATCTTGGTCCCTCACCATCAACAACTTTTTTTTTTTTGAGACAGGTCTCACTTTGTTGCTCAGGCTAGAGTGAGTGCCGTGGGATCAGTTAGCTCACGCAACCTCAAACTCCTGGGCTCAAGCAATTCTCCTGCCTCAGCATCCTGAGGAGCTGGGACTACAGGCATGTGCCACCATGCTGGCTAATTTTTTCTATATATATAGTTGGCCAATTAATTCTGTCTATTTATAGTAGAGACGGGTCCTGCTCTTGCTCAGGCTGGTTTCGAACTCTGACCTCGAGCAATCCGCCTGCCTGCGCCTCCAGAGTGCTAGGATCACGCCCGGCCATCACAACTTTGAGACATATTTTATCATCCTGTGTAGCAGAGGGAAGTTTACTGTTTTATTTATTTCAGTCTGACAACAAATAAGAAAGAATAGGAGAAGTCAAAGTGTTTGAGAGATAAATTGGTATGGTCTGGAAAACTCAATGGATGGGCGCCACTGATCCCTTCTCTAGCCCTGATAAATTCTTGTCACTGCAAAGAGAACTAGAGCTGAGAAAGGATAAATATGTTCTGACCTAAAATATGTGCTACCTATGTTTTAGGGACTATGGTCCTCAGTGGTATTAAAGGAAAACTCCAATAAATCTGCACTATAAAAATTCAAATATTAGCAAGGAAAAATATATATCATAAAGTAAAAGATGAAAGACAACTGGGGGGAAAGTTGTGTACAATTAATTTGCAAACATCCCATTAAAAAAGATGAGCATCCAACTAAAACAATGTGTAAAGGATATGAACAGCATTTACAGAAATAAACTACAGATACAAGTAAGTATGTCAACCTAGCTCATGGTTAAAAATATATAATCAAAATATATAAGATAAATACTATCAATCTCAAAAAAAACTGGAGTTTCTTTTCATACAAACTTATTTGGATTTTTTTATATTTCAAATTACTGATACATTCAAAGAGTAATTTTAATCTCTATAATTTTTGCTAACCGTGTTGAGTCACACTTGACATCCGAGTGCAAAGGGTTTTAATGAATACTAATTTTTAAATCTAGTATTAACTTGAAAATGCATAGCTCAAATGGTAAATTAAAGAATAACTCTTTCCGAAACTTTAATTTTCCCTTTTTGTAAAATTAAAAGAAGATTCAAGGAAACCATTCCGTGTGTTTCACTATTATTCTATTAAATATATGATGTTCCCCCTCCACCCCCATTTTAATAACACCTAAATGGTTTATAAAGCCTAAAGCCAATTCTGGTAAATTAGGAGCAAGGTTAAACAGCATTGATCCAATCTTGGTCCCTCACCATCAACAACTTTTTTTTTTTTGAGACAGGGTCTCACTTTGTTGCTCAGGCTAGAGTGAGTGCCGTGGCGTCAGCCTAGCTCACAGCAACCTCAAACTCCTGGGCTCAAGCAATTCTCCTGCCTCAGCATCCTGAGGAGCTGGGACTACAGGCATGTGCCACCATGCCTGGCTAATTTTTTCTATATATATTAGTTGGCCAATTAATTTCTTTCTATTTATAGTAGAGACGGGGGTCTTGCTCTTGCTCAGGCTGGTTTCGAACTCCTGACCTCGAGCAATCCGCCTGCCTCGGCCTCTCAGAGTGCTAGGATCACGCCCGGCCCATCAACAACTTTTTGAAGACATATTTTATCAACCTGTGTAGCAGAGGGAAGTTTACTGTTTTTATTTATTTCAGTCTGACAACAAATAAGAAAGAATAGGAGAAGTCAAAGTGTTTGAGCAGATAAATTGGTATGGTCTGGGAAAACTCAATGGATGGGCGCCACTGATCCCTTCTCTAGCCCTGATTAAATTCTTGTCACTGCAAAAGAGAACTAGAGCTGAGAAAGGATAAAATATGTTCTGACCTGAAATATGTGCTACCTATGTTTTAGGGACTATGGTCTCAGTGGTATTAAAGGAAAACTCCAATAAATCTGCACTATAAAAATTCAAATATTAGCAAGGAAAAAATATATATCATAAAGTAAAAAGATGAAAGACAAACTGGGGGGGAAAAGTTGTGTACAATTAATTTGCAAACATCCCATTAAAAAAGATGAGCAATCCAACTAAAACAATGTGTAAAGGATATGAACAGGCAATTTACAGAAAATAAACTACAGATACAAGTAAGTATGGTCAACCTAGCTCATGGTTAAAAATATATAAATCAAAATAATAATAAGATAATACTATCATACTATCATAAACAGGCACTCTCTGCCCCATTGCTGCAGAAGGTACAGATTGGAGATGGAAGGCAATTTAGCACTATGGAAAATTTTTAAAGTACATTCTTTTTGGCCCACCAATTCACTTCCACAAACTTCCTCTTCAGAGAAACTCAAGTATATCAAGATAGATCAATAAACATACAAGATGTTTACAGCAGTACTGCTTATAAAAGAAAACTGGGAAGTTTAACTTACAGCACATACAACCTATGGAATATCTATCTATATGCACTGATATGGTGTTTTTTTTTGTTTTTGTGTAGACAATAGTCTCATTCTGTCAGCCTGGCTAGATTATAGTGGTGTCATCATAGCTCATAACAACCTCCAACTCCTGGGCTCAAGCGCTCTTCCTGACTCAGCTTCCCAAGTGCCTGGGACTACAGGCATGTACCCCCACGCCTGGCTAATTTTTTCTATTTTTAGTAGAGACAGGGTCTCACTCTTTCTCAGGCTGGTCTTGAACTCCTGACCTCGAGCAATCCTCCCGCCTTGGCCTCCCAGAGTGCTAGGATTACAGGCATGAGCCACCACACCCAGCCTAAATTCTCTGAAATTTTACAGAAGTCTACAGGGAAACGTTCAGAGCTAAGATCTAAAATGAACATAACTTTTAATAAGATCTCCCTAATCTAGTCTTATTTTTTAATCATTAAAGTTTTTATTTTGTTTAATAGTTCTTCTTTCTTTCTTGTATTTAAACTTTTCTGCCTATTTGGTTTAGTACACTTATACCTTTTATAAAAGCCAGTAACCACTTATTTGAAAGAAAAAAGAGAAATTACTCGCTAAGTTTGTTGCCAAGTTCTTGAAGAGCTTGCTCTTGTTCATGATATATTTTTTTCAACTGCTGATTTTCATCCTGGAGGTTAAGGAACTCCTTCATAACAATAAAAGATAGAAAATGCAATTTAAAAGAAAGAAAAAAGATTCCACATTGTATAATATATATACCATTAATTAGGAACAAATATATTAATACTTTTTTTTATAAGAAACAGAACTATATATGTCTAAAAGCTCTTTCCCAGCTGCTCTATGTATCAGCTGTTTTCCATTCACTTAATTTCCTTACTAATATTTTTTAAGATACTAGTTTATAATGTTTCCTTGGTATAAATGTAAATTAAGATTTATCTTTTTAAATAAGTGAACAGTCATCAAGATATAATTTTTAAAGTTTTACCACTATTTACTTTTTTAAGACTAATGATTTGTTGGGTCTCATTTCTAAGATGAGATAAGGCATCTTTCTCCTTTTGAAGATCTTCCTGCAAAGTCTGCCTCCATTCCTTCTCAATCTTCAAATCAGTTTCCAGTTGTACCCTTGAATGACAAATAATATATAGAAGCTCAGTGCTATTTCTCACATGACAGCTGTATGTGTTCTTTAACAAGAGCATCTTTTGTGGTTGATTATGTTGGCCTTTGTAATACATTTCTTCAGACATTTTCTTTCATAAATACTTTTTAGTGAACAAGTTCAGCAGCACAGCAATTACCAATCACAAAGTATCAATTCATTTGCCAGCCAAAAAAAATCCTTGCTAAGTAATTTATATCATTTATTAATTCTATGTATGCAAATGTTGTATAGGCACAGAAAATGCTATGGAAAGGCACACACCATACTATTAAAACTGGTTACATCTTAGGAATGGAACTAAGAGGAAGAATGTAGGGTTGTAATTATTTAGATTTCTATGCCATGTGAAAATTTTTACAACATAATGAAAAGGATTATTCTGACATGAGAATTATAGCAATTGCTAAATCAAATATAACATCAGTAACAGAAAATCAGCCCTGGTACAAAGTGCTAATTTGCAGGTTACTGTTGGAAGCTGACCAATTAATTATAGGAGAGATCTAAGACCAAGCAGACACTGGGGAAAAGTCCACACTGCCTGGAAATGCCAGTTCTCATCTGAAAGCACTCCTACATTATTCTATCAACAGGTGCCAGCTGGCAAAACAAAAGTAGTTCAATTTCTACATTCTAGGTTGACCAAAAACAAAAAAAAAGCAATTGCCATAATTATTGCTCATAAGTAGGTATAACAAGTGAGGTGTATATATACTAATAATACTATAGTTTCTAATACTTTACATTTTAATTGCAATATTATATCTTATAATACTGAGCATATCACAGTATTACATTATTTCAATATTTTTGTGTTAATATTCTGATTACTTTTTGTTTCCTCATAGTATTTCCAACTACAGCCACATATTTTCCAGGGAAATAAATTTTAGATTGTATAATTCAGGTCAAAGAGATGAGATACCTGAGAATGGAATTTACAAATTGTTGATAAATACTATTTCACTACAAATTTAAAAGGAATACAGAGGGATGGGTACAGCAGTTCCTTGAATATTGCTGTTTCATTAAACTTTGTTTCATTATAATGTTGATGAGAAAAACAATGGGTTCCTGGCCAGGGCCACTGTCTGTGGAATTTGCACATTCTCCCTATATGTACATGGGTTTTTCTGTGTACTCCAGATTCTTCCCACATCCCAAAGACGTGCAGATTCAGTTCAGTGACGTGTCTACACGGTCCCCATCTGAGAGAGCATGGATGTGTGTGTGAGTGCCCCCTGTGATGGGATGGCGTCCTGTCCAGGGCTGGTTCCCACCTGGCACCCTGAGCTGCCAGGATAGGCTCCAGCCACCCACAACCCTGAACAGAAGTAACTGGGCAAATTGTTCAATTACTTGGTTTATGAATTTCTCCTCTCCCTCTCCTCTCCTCTTCTCTTCTCTTTTCTTTTTTTTTTGAGACAGAGTCTCACTTTGTTGCCCAGGCTAGAGTGATGTCGTGGCGTCAGCCTAGCTCACAGCAACCTCAAACTCCTGGGCTCAAGTGATCCTCCTGCCTCAGCCTTCCGAGTAGCTGGGACTTCAGGCATGCGCCACCATGCCCGGCTAATTTTTTCTATATATATTAGTTGGCCAATTAATTTCTTTCTATTTATAGTAGAGACGAGGTCTCGCTCTTGCTCAGGCTGCTTTCAAACTCCTGACCTCGAGCAATCCGCCTGTCTCAGCCTCCCAGAGTGCTAGGATTATAGGCGTGAGCCACAACACCCGGCCATGAATCTTTCTTAAATGTATGTATAGCTCACATTTACTTCAATATTTAATATTAGAAGTGTTTTGGTCTTTATTTAGAAGTTCAGTGATGTTTTTGTGACCAGAAATATGCCATAGAAACTTAACTCTTGTTTATATCAATTAGCCTATGGTAAAACTGGTTTTATTATATGTCGTTTTGCTTAAAGTTATAGTTTCCAAGAACCTATCAACAACATTAAGTAAGGACTTACTGTATATGTTACAAACACTGAAGTAACCAAAGTACAAATACCCTGTTTAGTGGCTTCATCATCCAGAATCAGAAAAAACTGAGAGAAAAAGGAAAAATTTTGTTTTTAAGTTATTTAAATATAGTGTCAAAATACATGTTGAATACCAAGGCAGAAGCCATAAAGGAAAAAAAGGGAAGCTACACTTACATAAAAAATTAAAATGTCTAAATAAAAAAACCACTATGAACAGAATTTTTAAATAAACAATAAGCCTGTAATCCCAGCACTTCGGGAGGCCAAAGCAGGAGGATCACTTCAGGCCAAGAGTTTAAGACCAGCCTGGGCAAAACAATACCCTGTCGTTACAAAAAATTTTTAAAAATTAGCCAGGTATGGTTAGCACACGCCTGTAGTCCCAGTTACTCAGGAGGCTGAGGTGGGAGAATTTCTTGATCCCAGAAGTTTGAGGTTGCAGTGAGCTGTGATGATGTGATTGTATTCAGCCTGGGCAACAGAGTGAGACCCTGTCTCAAAAATAAACAAAACAAAACAAACAAAACAAATAAAATAAAATAAACAATAAACCTAGAAAACAGTTTCACTAATATGAAAGACCTAGACTAAACATATAAAGAGCTCTTACAAATAAATACTAAAAGGATGATCACCCCAAAGAAAAGAAATAGGTTATATCAAACTAGCAATTCACATACACAAAAAAATACAAAAGACTATCGCTAGTAATCAAAGATACACAAAACCAAACAATAAGGCAAAATTTTTCAGGCTAAAGAAGTTAACTTTGATGTAATGATGGCATAGACCTATATTAATGGCTATAATACAATGTCCATGACATAGTAAATAAAATAAATAAGATACTAAAGGGTATCCAGCATACTTTTTTAAAAAATTTTAATTTTTTTAAAAAGACTAGTCAAGTATAATAGTGAGAAGCATGATACTATTTCTAAAAACATGAAAAACACTGATGCATACCAAAAAAACTATAAGGATATTCTTCAAATTGTTTCAAAATGGTTCTCTCTCTAGTTTTTATTTTCTTCATACTTTTCCATATTTTCTTAGGTTTTGGCCTAGAACACATAATCTTTTCATAATCAGAAACTGATAGTTATTTCCACTTTAGGAGAAAATAATGGAATTTGTTTTTCTCTTAGAAAGTACCAACTGCCCATTTTCACACATACAACTCCAATTTTTCTGAACCATCAGGGATTCCTCTGGTCACCAAATTGTTAGCATGTTCATGCTCTACCAAAATGGCACAGAGAGACCAGATTACTTTTATAGTTTCACCAAGGACAAACATCTTCTCTTAGCAGCTGCACCAAAGTCCTACTGAGTAGTTTAGCCCTACAGAGAAGGAGGACATCCTTGTAGCATTGTTTGGGTCACCTTTTGGGCAGGGATCAAATGGTGGCATCCCTGCAGATAAATTACATCATTGCAGAATATCAGATTTGTCTTACCTACACTTTTCTCAATCACTAGAAAGGTGATTCAGTAACAGAGTATGAGGGTTTCAAGATTGTATTCTGCGGACTGTCAAAGTGTCCCAGTCTTGCTTTTCATGTGTTTCATTCGGCAGGGCACAGAAACTTACACAACAAGGCACTGCTGATAAACTTGATGACTTAAATGCTCCTTGTGACTTCTATTGCCAAAGGAAGCCCTGAAAGTGCTGGCTACCTTTTTAGGAAAGTGCTTAACAGAAAATTTTCATTTGCTGAATGTTTTTGGTTTGGGGGGAGGCAGGTTGTAGTTTCATAATTTTCACAATGTACAAATGATGCAAGTTTTCAACTACAGTAATATTCCCTGGCCCAAAGCCAGGGAATTCTATATACCAGTTCCTCAAGATATTTTTGTGGTAAATTTAAAAGGAACTTAGAATTCTGATTCTGCACAAAATGGAGTAAACACTTTACTCCCTATCTCTCAAACCAAGTACAGTTAAAAACCCTGGACATTATATATATATGCATATATATATAATGTCCAGGGTTTTTAATATATGTTATATATATATATAAAAAATGCTGGAATATAGAGATTTGATTCCATGCAAACCAAACAAAAAGGCAAAATCTGCTGGGCTTAAAAAAAACATGTCCCTAACCTACATAATTCCTATGGATTTTTTTTTTTTTTTGTGGCAGGTGTCAGATAGAATTAAAAAAAAGAGGGAGAAAAGAAAAAAGGAACATAAACTGGAAATGCTGTACTTTGGTTCCAGCTCCCATGGCCGCAGTAATTTATTGGTTTTCTCTTCTAGTCGGGCAATTATTCATTTTTTTCTTTTAAGCCATCTTCAGAACCTATTTTATAAAAACAAAGTATAGTGGTCGGTTTTGATTTTTTCTTTTCTTTTTTTTGACAGTGTCTAGTTCAGGTTGTTTCCAAACTCCTGGCTCAAGTGATCCTCCTGTTTCAGCCTCCCAAGTAGTGTTTTGATTTTTAACTTGAATAAGTTTCCTTAACCATTTGTTATGAGATATTACATTGACATAAACAGTAATTTTTTTTTTTTTTTTTTTTTTTTTTTTTTGAGACAGAGTCTCACTTTGTTGCCAGGCTAGAGTGAGTCCATGGCATCAGCCTAGCTCACAGCAACCTCAACTCCTGGCTCAAGCAATCCTGCTGCCTCAGCCTCCCGAGTAGCTGGGACTACAGGCATGCGCCACCATGCCGGCTCATGTTTTTCTTTTTTTTTTTTATTTTTTTTTTTTGAGACAGAGTTCGCTTTGTTGCCCCAGTGCTAGCTGAGTGCCGTGGCATCACTAGCTCACAGCAACTCAAACTCCTGCTCAAGCAATCCTCCTGCCTCAGCTCCCAAGTGCTGGGACACGGCATTCGACCATGCCCGGCTAAGTTTTGTAATCATATTAGTTGGCCATTAATTTGTCTTTCTATTTAACGTGAGATGGGGTCTCGCTCTTTGTCAGGCTGGTTTCGAACTCCTGACCTCGAGCAATCCGCCCTCGGTCCCCAGACTCAGGATTAAGGCGTGAGCCACGGCCGATGTTTCTCTATATATATGTCAGTTAGCCACATTATTTCTTCTATTATATAAAGATGGCATCTCTGCCTCTTGCCAGGCTGT